GCAGACGCCCTTGCCCCCAGCTGGGCATGGCTTGGCTTTGGACACCTGGGCCTCCGCTGGCCTTCCCCTCGTTGTGAAAGGTTCTCCGGGGATTCTGCTGCCCACCCGGGTCCCGAGGAAAAGCCCCCCCCCTCGCTCAGGGGGCTCTCCTCTTGGGGGAGGGGCTGCAGGCGGGGGGGGGGGAAATCCAAAAGCTGAGCTCTCTGCACAGCCTGCCCCCCCCCCGCCTGCAGCCCCTCCCCCAAGAGGAGAGCCCCCTGAGCGAGGGGGGGGGCTTTTCCTCGGGACCCGGGTGGGCAGCAGAATCCCCGGAGAACCTTTCACAACGAGGGGAAGGCCAGCGGAGGCCCAGGTGTCCAAAGCCAAGCCATGCCCAGCTGGGGGCAAGGGCGTCTGCGTCCTCCTGGGCCAGGCAAGACTCGCCTTTGCCACCTGCAGGATAGGTGCCTGCCTCCCCAGCCCCACCCTTGCCCAGAGAGGGGGCCAGCGCTCCAGAATCATCTTCACTTGGTCCTCATCACTGAAAATGACCAAGCGGATGCCAGCAGCAGCCCCTCCCCCAGCGATTTCCATGGGACTCACCCTGAACTTCTTCTGGTACACCAGCTGGTTATTCTGGATGGAGAACCAGCGCCTGCACAAGGGAAGGCAGCAGAGTCGGCATCGCCCTCGGCACGCAGAGACGGGGGCTGAATCCACCCAGGGACCCCCCACTCACGCCAGGGGTCTCGCAGCCCCCGGAGGCCTCAGGGGGGCTTTCAGAAAGTGGGGTGTGTGTGTGTGACACAAAAGCCTGCCCAAAGCAGCCCAAGGGGGGCCCTGCTGTGCTGCTCCAACAGCGAGGGAGGGAGGGAGGGAGGGAGGGACGGAGGGTGTTGGGCTCAGGGGCTGCCCCCCCCCTCCCCGGGAGCCTCCGAATTCCCCTCTTGAGCCGCTGTTCTCTTAACTTCGGCCCCAAAGGGAAAGTGGCTGCTGCAAATCTCCGGGCCCTGCTTCATCCCCAGGGAGCTTCCAGGAAGAGGCCCAGGGGACGGAAGGGGGGAAGAGCACAGGGGGAGGGAGGGCTAATGGGGGGAGCTGCACCCCTTTGGATTCTTTTCTGGATGCTCCCCCCCCCCGGGACAAGTGCTGATGAACTCCCTCCCCCAATGCAGACTGAGCCATAGGGGTCTCGCCCCTGCCGGCCCTGCGCCAACCGGATGAGTCCTTCCTCAGAAGCAGCTACTCGGCTGGCAACCATGCCAGTCTCAGCTGGCACTGTGCGGCCACTGCTTTCCACCGTTGCAGGCAGATGCTGCTCTGCTGGGATGAAGTCCCAGGCCGCTGGATTAGCCAGGGCAGGGATGGGTGGGGGGCCCAGAGACCCTCGTGTTGCAATAACTGGCAAACGCTGGGCACTGAGCTCTCTCTCCCATCTAAGGAGGGCAAGCGGGGGCTTCAACCCCACAGGCTTCATCTTGGGTGGGCAATCTGGCATCCATCCAGTGGGAGAGAGCCCCCTCCATCCAGGGCTGCCCTCCCAGGAATTCAATCCCAGCCCAGCGGGGGCTCTTGCTGCCTTTCGAGAGGGCAGAGGGGGGGGGGGCAAGAAGAGGGAAACGGCAGAGGAAGAACCGGCACAAGTGGGACCAGGGGAAGCCACAGAACCGGCAGGCAGAGAGCAGAAAGAACGGGGAAGGGGCTACTACTACCACCCCCCTGGGGGAGAGGGGGAAGGCAGGGAAAAGTGGCTCAGAAGGCCTCACTAGCTGGGGGATGGAATGGGGGGGGGGCACAGCTGCCATTTGGATTCAGCTTGGGAGGGGAGGACTCCCTGCCCATCCTCAGGAGCCACAGGGCGGAAGGAAGGGCCAAGCCCCCCTTGACCCCCCCCCCGAACCTGGCCAGCCCCTCTCCCCTCCAATGTCCCCCCCCCGTTATATATTTATTTACTTGTCATATTTATGTGCCCCCCCCATCTCAAAAAGAAAAGACTGGGGGGCAGACAACAAAGCTAAAAGCAATAAAGGTATTCAAACAATTATTAATATTATTATCATTAAAACACCGTCTAAAAGGCAGAAGCTGAAAGGGAAACTGAGGGAGCTCTTAGGGGGCGGGGGAGGTTAATGCCCCTGGAGCCACCGGGGCATCCGCAGAGTTAGAAGGCAGGGAGGGGCAGCCTCGCCTGTTAAGGGAAGTGGCAGGCAGCAGGCAACCCCCCGACACTGCCCCCCTCCCCCTGGGGAAGCTGCTCCTGCACCCCCCACCCCACCCCAGCCGAGGAGGAGGAGGAGGAGGAGGAGGGGGAGGCACTTCTGGGCCTGGGGAAAGGCCGAGCGAGGAGGGGGCAGGCCGGGCTCAGAGCCACGGCCGGCCGGCATGCTTGGCACAGAACTAGGGAGGAAGCGCCAAGGGGGCAGAAGCCGAGAGGTACCTGATGCCACCGGGGGGTTTCCTGTCAGGTGGAGAAAATGAGGGAGGGTCAGAACAGAAGCAGGAGAAACCAAAGTCAAAAGAACCAGGCAGAAAAGAAGCCGAGGCAACGGAGGCAACGGAGCAGAGCTGGGGGGGGCGGGGGGGGAGAAGACAGCCCACCTAAGTGGCTCAGTGCTTGGGCATGGCCCCCTCTCTCCCCACCCACCCCTCAGCCCCAAACGGCCTGGCAAGAGGGGGCAGCTGCTGCAGCCCCTTCCCAAGCCGCTCAGCCCCATCGATGCGCCCTGCAAAAGACCTGGAGAGAGAGAGGGAGGGAGGGAGAGGGAGGGGGAGAGAGAGAGAGAGGGAGAGAGAGGGAGAGGGGGAGGGAGGGGAAGGGAGGGAGGGAGGGAGAGCTGGGATCTCCAGTGGCCGTGAGCACAAGGGGACCTCAAACTGCTTCACCTGCCTGTGCTCAGGAGAATACAGAACAAGAGAGTTGGAAGGGACCGTGGGGGTCTTCTGCCCAATAGCTTTATATCCCCCTTCACGGGGCTTCCACAGCCCCCTCTAAGAGCCCTGCAGAGTCAGCATATCTCCCCCAACAATCGGGCTCCTCATTTGACCCACCTCCGAAGGACGGAAGGCTGAGTCAACCTTGAGCCTGGTGGGGTTTGAACTGGCAAATTGCAGGCAGCAGAAGTAGCCTGCAGTACTGCATTCTCACCACTGGGCCACTGCAGGAAGCGGGGCAGGGGGCTGTCCAGCCTCTGCTTAAAAGCCTCCAATGACGGAGCCCCCACCGGCCGATTCCCCTCACTCCTTAGCTCTCGGTTGCTTCTCTCCTTCATTGGTTTCCACCCGTTGTTCCTTATCCTGCCCTCGGGGGCTTTGGGGAATGGGTGGACCCCCCCCCACACCTTTGGGGCTACCCCTCAGATACCGGAAGGCCGCTCTCATCCCAGCCCTGGTCCTCCTTTTAGACCAGGCAGACCCATTTCCTGCAACCGTTCTTGGGATCTTTTAGCCCCCCAGCGTCCTTCTTGCTCTTCTCTGCGCTCTTTTCCAGAGTCTCAGCATCTTTCTTACATCCTGGCGACCAAAACTGGACGCCATTTACAAAGCGGCACTGGGGACAGGGGCCCCTTCCTCCCGTGTGGCTGCCAGGACCCCTCCCGGGGCTGAGCTTGGAAAGGAGGCTGCCCCCCTCCCCAACTCACCCCAGTGGGCAAAGCACTCCAAGGGCTCCACCGACGCAATCCTGGAGCTTTGCCTTTAGAAGCCACCTCAGAGCAGCCCTTAGAAAGCGCCCGTCCCTTTGGTCCAGGGAGCTGGTTCGGGCCCCATCATCATGCCAGCCACAGCCCCCCACCCACATTCCCCCTCCCGGCCCCCTCCAGCAGCTGCTCTGGTTCCGCGAGAACTGCCTCGACCTTTTCCCCCTGAGGGGCTCCCTCCTTTCCTTCCCAGGAAGATGCCCACTGTGGGGACAGGAGAGAGACGCCCCTCTGCCCAACCCAGAGCAAGACCCCCCCCTCCCTCCCGGTCACCCTCCCTCCTTGCTTGCCCAGGCAGACGAGGGCCTCCTGCCCTCTCTCAGAGCGAGGTAACCGGCCCAGCGCCCCCTCCCCAGCCCCCCAAGCTCTTCTCCACATGGTACGGCCACCCTCCATCGTCACAAAGTGAAACAGAGAACTTTAAGAATACCTTTGCTTGAAAACAAGGCGCTCTGAAAATCCCATAAACTCCCCAAACAGTAACCCCTCCACTCACCGGCTCTTTCTCCGGGAGCCAAGAGGCAGAGGCGGCTAGAATCTCTGGGGGGCAGGAAGAGGGCAAAGGGGGACCCTCCCTGGCAGTTCACAGGGTGGAGCTAATTGTTATGCACATATGTGCTTTAGTCTGCAAGGCCGAGGTGGCGCAGTGGTTAGGGTGCAGCACTGCAGGCCACTTCAGCTGACTGCTATCTGCAGTTTGGCTGTTCAAACCTCACTGGCTCAGGGTTGACTCAGCCTTCCATCCTTCCGAGGTGGGTGAAATGAGGACCCGGATTGTTGTTGGGGGCAATATGCTGGCTCTGAGAGGGCTGGAAGCCCCATGAAGCGGTATATAAGTCTAACTATTGCTATTGCTATTCCTGGCTGTGGGCAAGCAACGAGCAACCACCTGCTCTGAAGGGGCTCCTCCTGTCGTCCATTCTTGATGTTTGGGCCTGACAAGGACGCAAATGGGGACACCCTGAAGCCACAGGGCTCTGAGAGGCCGGGGCAGCTGGCCCGCAAGCCTCCCACGCAGGATGAGGGAGATCCCCTGGGTCCTGGAGAGGAGGGGGCGCATGCTCAATGAGTCAGGAGGCCCCCCAGGAGGGCGCCCGTCCTCCCAGCTCCCTCGGGGAACAGCCTCACCTGTTCCAGGTCTTGAAAGCGTTACTGGCTCGCTTGAAGAGGTAGCCCTCCATGACAATGCCGCTCACCGCATCAACGTTGTACTCCAGCTTCATCTCGTCGCTGGAGAACTCCTGGCACAGAGAGAGGCTTCCTGTCAGCCCCACGTGGCAGGGAGGGAGGTGGGACAAATGCTGGGGCCCCCCAGGTCTTTCACGGGGCTCCCTGCAGCAGCTTCGAGAAAGGGCAGGGAAGCCTCCGGGCCAAGGAGAGGGCCAGGCGCCCGGGAGCCTCTGGCTCACTGCTGTTTCCCATGGGCTCGCCCCCTTTTGAACACCTGGTGGGGAAGGCCTTGCCTGGTCAGGAAACGAAGTCCGCCAGCAAACCACCACGCTCAGCCCCCACCCGGGAGTCCTGTGCTCGAGAGATTCCCCCCCGATGCCCCAGCGATCGCGTCAGCATTACGCTACAGCTGGGAAACCCTCCAGAAGCTTCTGTGGGCCCAGAACATGGTGGTGGCGGTGGCGGCAGCCATGATGGGGTACCTCATCACACCCAGGGGAGCCTGCCCAGTGCCCTGGCGCCAGGGGCTTCCCGGGTGGGAGTCAACAGAGATAACAGTCGGTTCTGTTGGGTGCCCCCCCCCCCTGCATTCGAGCTTTCAGGAATCTGCATATCTATCGATTTCCCATCTACCTGCCTACCCATCTCATCCAACATCTACTTTATTCGGCTTAATCTTGCTTTGAAGCAACTCTGGGTGGCTGATAGCATCAAAAGCAGTAAAGCCACAAAAGGTGCACATCGGATCGCGATTACTTATTATTCCATTATTCTTCTGTTTTTACTGTTTTTACTGTTTTGAAAAAGCCCTTGTCTTTCGGGGTCTCTGGAGGTTCTCCGTCGTCCGGGTCATGGCTGCCCGAGAGGTGGGGGGCTTTCTGGGTTTCCCTCTTCAAGGAAAGCCCAGAGACCTCCGGGGGCCTTTGGGAAAAGCCCCCCTGGGGCAGCCGTGACCTGGATGGCTGGGAAGCTCCAGAGGCCATAGAAGGCCAGAGGAGGCAAATAGGCTTCTTCAAAGCATAAGAACCCGAAGTTAGAGTTAACAGAAGGGGAGGGAGGGGGGGAGGGAGGGAGGGAGGGAGCAGGATGCACGGGGTGGGGAGGTGGTTTTTTTTTTCTTAATCCATCCCCCCTCTCCATTCTGGGGGTCCCCCATTGTGGCCTCAGGGCAGCCGCCTGTGCCCGACCTTCAGGCCCACTGGCAGGTGAGGAGGATGGGAGCCCATCTCACCTCAGGGGAACCACCCTTTCCGGAGGGCAGGAGTCGCGGCAGAGAAGGGCCCTTCTCCCCTGAGGGGCCCACAGCATGCCTCCTCCTCCTCCTCCTCCTCCGGCATGGGCCCCTCCCATGGGGTGAGGGGCTCTGTCACCTGGACCGCATGCCACGCAGGGCTTTAGGGGTGGCCCCCCAGGGGGGGGGGGCCCTGTGGGCGGCTGGCCCTTGACCCGCAAGAGCCCAGGCGTGCGGGGGGGGGGGGCAGGCGCTCTCGGCTGGCCCTCCCTCTGTAGGTACCTTCTGCTGAATGGTGGAATGCTTCTGCTCCATCTCCTTCTTCTCCCTGGCCGTGTCCAGAGCCAGATGGTCCAGCTGGGGGGAGGACAAGGAGGGGAGCTTCAGACACGGGGTCCACTTCATGCGCCTGCGGCCAAGGGGAGCTGCCCTCCCCTGGGTCTTCTACCTGGGCAGGCGAGGCCCAGCCTCAAGCCGCCTCTCTCCCTGCCTCTCTCTCTCCCGGGGGGGGGAAGGGGGGGCGGAGTCCACGGAGCCCTGGAGTGCCAAGCACATGCGGCTGGACTGGCGCATCGCTTCAGGCTGGGGGAAAGGGGGGGGGAAGGGGGGGCGGAGTCCACGGAGCCCTGGAGTGCCAAGCACATGCGGCTGGACTGGCGCATCGCTTCAGGCTGGGGGAAAGGATGACTCATTCGCGGCCTCAGCAGCAGCAGCAGCCACGCTGGGCTTTCTCTGTGGGGCAGGAGGGAGAGGGTGAAGCTGCTCCCCAGCAGCAGCTGAGGGTTCAAGGCCCACCAAAGGATGCTCCACAGGGCCCCTCTCGGCCTCCAGCTGCCTTGGACGCAAGGAACGGGAGCCGCTCTCCGTCCCCCTCAGGGCGGGTCTCCCCCAAGGCCCCTCGGAGGCCCCCCCCCCCGGCCTCTCCTTCCCTGGAGCAGCCCCCTCCCCCGCTCGTTACCTGAGCGCCCAGGTCCTTCATGAAGGGCCCCAGTTCGCTGAAGAGGTCGTAGCCTTGGTGGAAGAAGGCCAGGTGGGCACACATGAAGGACAGCATCTGCAGGGGGCAGGAGAGGAGGGCACAGTCTTTATTTAAAAAAAATAATAATTCAAACTTATTGTTTCCTTTCCATCTATTTTCTATAAGTAAACATGTGTCTTCATTTTTTATTTTTTTTTAGCTTGAAAAAGGTTTTTATTTTCCATTTTCATACACTCCCATATATATACTGTGCATAGCTGGAGCCATACAACATTAAACAATCATCGCAGCAATTCCTCTTGTCAACAATACCCCCCAAAAATAGAAACCCAATATAC